GAGCGAGTAGGAGTGCGGGTCCCTTCCTCCTTTCAGTTCTGTGGTGATCAGCCTAACAGACCGGCTTCCTGGTGTGATGCTGAGGACTTCGTGGCTTGAAAAAGAAGCCTGGGAAGCCAGTGACGGGGTGAGGTGAGCAGCACCAGCACCGGCATGAAGCTTCATGACCAGGACTGCCCACGCCCAGTCACACTGACGTTTAACACAAGGGACTCAGGCATCTGCTTCAGAGGCCCCAGAGGTAACCTTATTTTTACTAAGAAAATACAGATTGAGCCAACAGTTAAGGCTAGAACTGAAGTTTCCTTAGAAAACAGCTGGGGGTGGAAGTAGGGGAGAGGAGAAATGGGTTCAATTAAGACAGGGCCAAAACAAAAAAAGATGAATGACCTCAATTTCTAGCCCAGAGATTTCAAAATGAGGATGAGTCTGTAAACAGCCCGCTTAGTAGACCTCTGCACTGTATTCCTGGCACAGTCCTCTCAGGGCTATTTTTAGCCACAGGAGAATGGGGAGCCAGAGGGAAGGGCTTACCTTGCAGCCCTGCTGGGAGGGACTCCTGCTATCTTTAATTAATGTCTGAGGGACAGAAGACCCACCCCACACGTGGTGAAAGGAAGCACAATGGTGAAATTCTACCCGCCAGACTGAGAGGCCCATTACTGGTGTCCCATTCCTGAGGTCCTGGGGCTATTTCTTGTTGAAAGGAAGGCTCATATGGAACGTTTACAGACGCAATGAGGTAGACTGCATATTTAATTTAAGAGGACAGAAAACAGGACAGCCTCACCGTCTAGTTCTGTCTTCCCTGCTTCACACACTCAGACTAGAGTTTACCAAAAAATCATTTTTACATTTTATACCTTCTCTCTGGAATAAAGAAATTTCACTCTAAGTGTCTCCCTCCAGATATCTAGTCCATATTCATAAACAAAGGTGAAATCAGCATTTCTCATAATCTAATCTTTAGTCTCTCCCTTTCACAATACCCCCAAGAGATAAGCCTAAAGCTTTTAAACCACAAACCACAATGACTCTCTGCCATCCAGATTTAGCCTTATTAAATATCAGAGATTAATCATATCTTTAGAAACAGAACTGAATATGCTGAGCAGCTCAAAGTGAAATATGCTCTATGTTCTACCCCAAACTCACCAACATCAGCCTATAAAGGCATACTGCAGGCAGGGATGATAAAGAGGGAGAAGACAAAATGCTACCATTTCAGGAAAAGAAAATTGAGACCCGAGGCTTACAAAGCTGCCAGTGACAGACCTGTGCATGCTGCCTAGTCGAGGATCGATGAGCTGCCTATGAACAAAGAATTTAAGCGACTCCTGTTACGACAAAGCGAAATATGAATAAAATTCAAACAGATTCTGAATCCCCATTTACAGTACTGCACACTACAGCAAACTGCCTTCTTCCTCCACGCGACTCCATTAACGGAAATAGGTTTGTTTATCTAAGACTCTATTAGTTGATGCAAAAAATAGAATTACAGAATTCTCTTTTAGCTAAAGGAACCATATGGCTCTCTTCACTTTTGCAGAAAGGACTTACACTAAAACTATTATTAAGTTTAAGCAACGGTTTCAGTACTAAGTATAGTCAGAAAAATGCTAGTCCACCACATTTAAGAGTATATGAGTTTTCCACCCTCACTCTGGAGCTGGTTCCTCACCAGCCTCAAATGTCCATCCTGAGACCAGTTGCTTTTCTGAATGAGACATGAAGGCAGGCTGCAAAATGGATGGACGTCCTCACACCACAGAAATGTTACTCACTGGCTGAGTGCCTAGGAAGTCTGTAAAGGGGGGTCTAGCAAGGCCCGCTTCCCCTCCCAGTTTTTACTACATAAGCCTAGGTGGAAAGGAGGGGAATGCCATGAGATGACCAAGTAAAAAGAAAACCATGTGGAAAGTATGTGAAAAGATCATCAATTTGCTGAAGAAACTTATGGCAGGACTGACAAACTACGGCCAACTGTCCAATAGAACCTTTAGCACTGATGGAAATGTTCTCTATCTCTGATGTCCAGTATGGTGGCCGCAAGCCAAGAAGCACTGGAAATAGAGCTAATACGACTGAGGAACTAAATTTTTAAATTTTATTTCATTTTAGTTAACTTAAATTTAAATAGCCACATGGGGCTCACAGACCCAACACTGAGTAGCACAGGTCTAGAACTCTGGGAAAGCTGATCACAGCAGTCTCCCGGATAAGAAAAAACCCGAAGAGCCCAACGTTCCTGTCCTTTCCTCCAGGAATTAAGGGAAAAAATTTAATTAACTTGCCTTCGTAACTGCTTTGTAATTAAAAAGCCCTTTCTAATCATTTTGTCTCATCTGAATGTGGACCTCTTAATATGAGAACACGCAAAATGCAGAAGTAGTGGAACTGCTTTCCTCTTATTGTAAACAATGAATCGTTAAGAGGTGAAATTAATTATTTTGAATTTTAAAATTTCTCCCTAAGTTGAAATATAAACTTTGGACCAAATACAACAAAAATATCGTTTAAATTGCTTAAAGATTTTTCATTCTTTCTTTCTTTTTTGGTTGTCCTCTCAAAAGGCACAGTAAGACCTTTGATGTGGTTACGCTTTGAGACCTTGGAGGAAAAAAAACCTGTAAACAAAATCCCCAAGTGCTCAGACTGAAAAAGATTCATTCCAATAGCAACTGTGTAGTTAAGGGGGAGTGGAGGGTGAGCTGCTCTTTATAACCACAAGTTCTGAACATCCAGGACATATTCAAAAAGCTTTATTCAGCCTGGCTTATGATATTCATCTCATCTTTATTCCTCAAAATCACCAACGCTAGCATCCCTGATAACCTCCGGTTGTAAGCGAATGCTTTTAGCCTTCTGCCTCGCACAGGATAGCTTTCAGTGGCAGTACATTCTAAACACATGTCACCTAGGGACACGGCTCCCTTTACGTTACACACCAGGGCTCCAGTAGAAACAAACTATATTGTTCTTTCCAAAGTTCCTACAGATTATGTTGAGTGCCCTTGAATCTGTTTAAACAACATAAAATTGGTATCAGTTTTAATGAAGGAAGTTTCTCAAATCTCAAGCAATAGGAGACAATTTTAGTTCTAGGATTAAAAAAAATAAACTACATGACTTAGATACAGAGACTACTGAGGTAAACTCAAAATAGACCTCAAAACAAACACCACACCTTTTCTAATAAATAATTTCCACAGCAGGGCACCTGACAAGGCTGAGTGTGTGGGCCGAATGACAGTAAACCAGTGAATGAACTGATGCCACCGTGGAGCAGCCAGTCACCTGGCTGCAGGTATCTGTTCTTAGTTCCACCCTTCCAGCTATTTACTCACAATCTGCATAAAGTCACAGAAATATGTGAAAAGGCAGCCAGCTTGGGTGCAGACAGATGTCACACAATTGAATTTAAATGTAAGGTCCTGCCTTAAAGTCTCAAACCATCAGTCCCACAAGCACCAGCCAAAAAGTCAAGAATTTATCTCAATTTATGCAGAAAAAGGCATAAGGAATGTAGATGCAAGTTCCATATAGGCCACAGCACTATGGTTGCTCCAATAGCTAATTCAGTCTTAGACCGCATTTACAAAACATAAAGTGCCAAGAAAGTTACATTCTCCGCTAAGATGAGTACTGCAGATGTTTGAGGGCACTGCATTTCAGCAGGGGCCATGGCCCGGTCAGTGTCTGAAGGAGCCCCCATGGTGAGTCAGAAGGCTAGTCACACACTTGGAAGGGGAAGGAGAGCAGCAGAGGGGAAGGAAGCGAGACTGCTGTCTCCAAAGGTCTGAGGGCTGACATGTGGATGAGAAAGAGACTTATTTCAGGAAACAGAATCAAAAGAGGCGAACTTTAGTTCAATACGAGGAAGAGGTCGAAGATCAGGGTTGTTCGTAATGGACTGGCCCACCTGGAAAGGCAGTGAGCCCCTCCTTCCGGAAGTGCAGGCCTGACGACCCAAGGCGGTTTCCACCACAGAGGGGGGTTAAATTAGGTGACTCTCCTTCCTCCTCTCCCCCACAATGGCCAGAAGACATCCACAGGCAAGATCCCTCCCGAACTCCAACACCTCCCCATTCTCTCCCACTCAAGGCATTCCATCAGAATGCAAATTCATGAGTAATGGCAGGACACACATTACTGCCCTAATTTATAAGAAATAATATGCAAATCTGAGTGCTTTAACAAAAACTACTAACAAAACAAGCTCTGACACTGTGCAGCTTACTCACTGGGATTCCAGAAACACTGCTCTCAGACACAACACTCAGACTGCACATTCTGTATAGCTTCTCTACATCACTTTCCTACATAATATTCTTAATCTCAGTTAGTTAACAGACTCCAAACTCAAAATGACTGAGGTTAAGGAGATTTTCTTAAAACCTCCTGAATTAGAGTGAGTCTTTTCCCTCATTTTATGAACACCGCAAGCAAGAAGCCTGTGCAGGAAGTTCTTAAACTGCCCCAGCTAACACCACCAAGAGCTGATCCTGATTCCTCTACCAAACCAGGGACTGAAGGTACGGAGGGAAGACAGCAGACTTACCTTTATTTGCAGATTATCTGTTCTTCCCCATTATCTCCATAATTCCTGGAACGCATCCCTAAGCGACACTGCAGTGTTCAAATGGATGCCTAATATGGTTTGGGTCCGTTCTAATTCTACCCCAGACACAAGATTATAGATGCCAGAAACTCATTACTCAACTTTTCAAACTCTAAAATGATAGCACTGTCATGAAAGTACTCTCAGAAGCTTCTCTGAAGAGTACCCACTCCCTGTTTGGAAATACTTTGAGAAGGAAGCTACCTCCCCACGATCCACCGTGCACTCAGGGAACCTGCCTAGCTGTCCACATCCCTAATGGATCCGCGACCTGTAGAATATTAATCTGGCACAGACAACGGTATTTCTGTCAAAGTCGTCCCTTTCTGACTGTACAGCACATTCCATACCAACTCCTCTAAAGGCCAGGCTTTACCTTTCTGAACGTGGATGATGTCGGGGAAGTTGGCCAGGTGCCCCTGATACAGCGCTAACAGGTCCATGACGGGGTCCAGGTCCTGCCTGGGCTGATCGGCGAACAGTTCGCCGATGGCGTCGTAGGCATCTCCGGTGAAGGCGATGGCCTGGTTCAGGCCGGCCGAGAAGGCCTGCTGGTCCAGCTCAAAGGCCTGGCTGAGGCCGCGGAAGGACTGGCCCACCTTCTGATACTCCTTCTTGAAGCCCGTCACCTGCTTGCGCGCGAACTCGTTGGCGGTGTGGTTGAGCTGCAGCGCGCTGTCGTCCATCTTCTTGGTGAAGCACTTGAAGCCATCGATCTTGCTCTCCACCTCCTGCAGGTCGAGGGCGGCGGCGGGGGGCGTGCTCAGGGTCAGGAAGAAGTTGGCGCCCACCATCTCGTCCTTCTCGGCCTTCCTCTTGCCCTGTTTCCAGGCCTTCTCGTCGGTGCTGCTGGGGCACGTGAGGAAGTGCTGGAAGACGTCGCACTGCGCCAGCACCGGGTGGCTGGCCATGTGGTTCATCCACCAGATCAGCCCCTTCCTGCGCTTGGAGATGAAGTCCTCCTCGAAGCGGCCGGTGGCCTGCTTCTCGGGCAGGTGGGGCACCGAGATGACAGGGAACTTCTCTGCCAGGCGCGCGTACAGCCAGTCGAAGTGCTTGTAGCGCCGATGCACCGGCACCTGCGTGTGCGTGGGCACCAACTTATAGGAGATGTAGCTCTTCATGCCCTTGAACTTGGTCTGCTTGGTGGGGTCGTCGATGGTACACTGGAAGGGGTAGGGGTTCTCCTGCCACTCGGGGCCGTAGGGCCCCAGCACCACGCACAGCTTGTCCCCATCCTTCACGAAGCCCGACGCCTCGCCGAGCACGAAGGCCTCCCCGCCCGACTTGACGAACGTGGAGAAGCGGTTGAGGTTGCGGCTCACCGTGGCCGAGCTCTTGGCCCCCGACGGGTGGTGCTGCGGGGCCGCCGAGCCGCCGCGGGAGCCCAGCGACAGGTCCGAGCGCGTGGACAGGCGGTAGCGGCCGGCCACGCCGCCCCCCGACGACGAGCCGTCGAGGTCCGGGTAGGCGCCGCTGCCCAGCGCGCCGGGCTCGTCGGCCACCGTGGAGCTGTCGTCCCACTCGTCGTCCCAGTCATCGTCGCTGCCCTGGCTGGCCTGGTAGCCGCCGCCGTAGAGCTGCTGCGGAGACGGCTGCAGGGCGCCCCCGCCGTATGAGAAGCCCGCGCCCGGCGGCTGGAAGGTGCTCGGCGGCGGCGCCTGCTGCGGCTGCAGCAGCGGCTGGAAGGCGTCGGGCGGCGGCTTGAAGGAGGCGGGCGGCGCGGCGGGCAGGGGCTCGAAGCCTCCGGGCGGCACGTTGGCGTAGCGGGCAGGGGCGCCCGGGCCGCCGTCGCCCGCCGGGCCGGGCTCGGGGGCGCGGATCACCTGCACGTACGAGGCCGGGAAGAGGCCGCGGTCGCCGCGGCTGTTGACCCCCTCGAGCCAGCCCTCGATGTCCTGCTCGCTGCACAGGCTCAGCACCTCGTGCTCCCGCAGCGAGATCTCACCCGGGTTCTCCGACCTGAAGTCGTACAGCGCCCGGGCGCGCAGCGCCATGGTGCCGGCGCCCCGGGTCCGGGCCCCGCGCCCTGGCGCGCCGAGAGGAGCCCCGAAGGCGGCGCGCACTCCCGCGCCGCTCCGCTCCCTGCGCCGACTGCCGCGCTGGGCCGCCGCTGCCGCCGGCCGGGGGCGGGGCCCGCCACCTCCCACGTCCCCAGCTGCGCTAATCCACGGCCGAGAGCCGCGCGCCAGGCGAGAGCAAGCGATAGCCGAGCCGCCGCCCGCCTCCCGGTCCGACTCCGCAGCCGCCACTGCCCCCTCGTGGCCAGTGCCGAGCAGTGAGGCTCCGGGGTGAGAGCTCCGGTGCGGGTTTCTATTCAGAAGAGAATTGTCTGAGAATTTTATTAGGCTTTTAAGTTAAAAAACGTATCCTAGAAAGTAAATTAATGTTTGCATTCCTGATAAACGTTCCCACTCTGAGCGCTCACTGAATGCTCCTAGAATAACTTAACCCACGCATCTAATAAAGGATTTTCAATGAATAGTAGCGATTGCACTAAAAGGAAAAACGGGATGTCTGTGCTTGGGGCCATACGCTGATGGAGCAGCTCCCTTTCATCTCCTACCCCCTGGAGACTTTTGGCAAGAAAGGGAGGAAAATGCCAAGAGCAAAGTAAGGAAGATGCTGTGTCTGATAAATTAGGAGGCTAAAGGTGGTGTGAGAAGGGAGACACTGGAGAGTTTACAATAAAGTAAGTGGGCACGCACGGCTAGCATTTTGCACGTGTCCCTTCTCCTTCCTAAAACGTGGGTAGTGCAGTGAATGAGAGCTTAGGTTTACAAGCCAGGCTGCTGGGTTCGAATCTACCTTCTGACAGTACCTAGCTTGACCTTGATTGAGCAAGTCACTTATGGTACCTACCTCCTAGGGTTGTTGTGAGGCTTCGATAACAATGTAATCTCTATTTACAGATAAGGAAAATGAAACTGTTTCGTTTTCAAACAGTGCCACATTAATATATGGCAAACACTCTACATGGTGAGCACAGTTTAAGTGTTTGCTGTTATTGTTATTTTGGAAAGCAAAAACTCTGCCCTCCTTCATAAAGAGAATAGGGCTCCTACAATGACAATCCCAGGGTGTATGCACCAGGAGGGGTCCTCATGTTCACACCCTACTCCTAGTCTGAGATCAGTGACCACCCCTCTCTGTGCATCTCTGTCTCACTATATTTATGTTATTTTTAAGATAAGTAGATAAAAAAATCACTTTGTGAAATATTAATCAGCTCCAATCTCCCATAGTTGCCTTGTTGCACATCTTCTTTTCCTTTAGTGTATAATTTGCTGAAAGCTTTTTCTTCTCATAATCCCCTCTTACTAAGTCTAGCCTAATTATTCCTTTGAAGACACCTCTAATTGGGATTTAGCATTCACATGTGATTAATTTCAGCCTGTCCTCTGACCCTTTTTAAGCAAATCTGGGAAACGAGCCAGAAGAGTATACAGTTATTGTAAGGGCTGTGGTATTCTAAGCATCCTGCACAAAACCACCAGCCCAGAATACCAGAATTACTCCCACAGTGTTTATCCCTAATGCAAAACCTTAATTCAATTCAGCAAGCAAATTCTGAATTACAACATTTTTAGCTGAAAATTCTGGGTTAGGACAATTCTTACAGTAAGCCATAGAGGTCATTGAATTTCAATGTCAACAATTTATGTGGTCAGAAACATGAAGTCAACATTTACGAGACGTCTAGAATACAGTTTATTTTACTTATTAACTCATGAGAAGACAACCTAGAATATTTAAGAGAAATACATTTAGTTTCACTCATACTATTCAGCTGGTACTTTTTAGGTTAAAGAGCTAATTAAAGTAACATGAAACTTGCAGTGCTTCAGGCTTTGAAGCAGGGAGACTGAAAGTCTATTTCAGGCATGAAAATTCCAGTAGCTGGAGGTGATGGTGTTTACAGACGGGTTGGGCTGCTCCGTAGAAGCGGTGGTTGAGGGACTATTGGGTGTCAGAGGTTGTTTGCAGCACCAGTGCACAAGCGAGGATTCAGCTTGTAGGATCCCAGTGGAAGGCCAGGCATCAGGCTTTGTACAGGACAGGTACAGGCTATCCATGGTGCCTGGCCCTATGGCATCCAAGTGACAAGAAAAGCCTACCCTTTAAGGATCTTCGATATTTAGAAAATGTGCTCAAGTCTTAGAAACATATAACTGTTCACTCAGGGAAGTAGACACAGTAATACATTTTTTGAAGATTTCTCTAGAAAATGGAGCATACTGTTCATAATTTAGTTTATGCAGTCATCATTATAACCATCAACTATTTCTATTCCATTATGCTTTTGTAAAAACAAGTCCTTATCGGGCACTAAATGGCCCCAAACAACCATGTTTTCATACTTCTTCCATTGGTCTGAGAGGCCTTAGGTGGCCTGCCTCTCTTTCCATCCCTCACTTCCACTAGAGAGAAACCATGATGGTTTGTTTCTTATTTCCGGAACAAGTCAAGCACATTCATGCCTTGAATGTTTTTTAATATACTTTATTTTTTTAGAGCAGTTTTACGTTCATAGCAAATTTGAGCACAAAGTACAGAGATTTTCCATATACTGGCTCCCCACACACACGCGTAGCCTCCCCCACTATCAACATCCCACACCACAAAAGAGTGGTACATTTGTTACAATTGATGAACCTACATTGACAAATCATCATCATCCAAAGTTTATGTTAGGATTCACTCTTGGTGTTGTACATTCTATGGGTCTGGACAATTGTATAATGTCATGTATCTACCATTATAGTATCATACAGAATAATTTCACTGCCCTAAAACTCCTGTGTTCCACCTGTTCAGCCCTCCCTTCCCTAACCTCTGACAAAAACTGATCTTTTTACTGTCTCCATAATTTTGCCTTTTCCAGAATGTCATATAGTTGGAAGTATACAGTATGTAGCCTTTTCAGATTGACTTCTTTCACTTAGTAATATGCATTTAAGTTTCCTCCATGTATTTTCATAGCTTGGTAGCTCATTTCTTTTTAATGCTGAATAATATTCCATTGCCTGGATATACCACAGTTTGTTTATCCACTTATCTACAAAAGGAAATCTTGGTTGTTTCCCGGTTTTGGCAATTTTGAATAGAGCTGGTATAAACATCCTTGTGCAGGTTTTTGTGTAGATATAAGTTATCACCTCCTTTGGGTAAATACCAAGGAGCGTGATTACTGAATTGTATAGTAAGAGTATGTTTAGTTTTCTAAGAAGCTGCCAATGGTCTTCCAAAGTGGCTGCACCACTTTGCCTTCTCACCGGCAATGAATGGGAGTCCCTGTTGCTCCACATCCTCATTGTCATTTGGTGTTGGCAGTGATCCAGATTTTGGCCATTCTAATAAGTGTGTAGTGGTATCACATTATGGTTTTAATTTTCATTTCCCTGGTGACATATCATGTGGAGCATCTTTTTTTTTTTTTTATCAAAGTATAGTTGACATACAATACTGTATTAGTTTCAAGTGTACAACATAGACCCTTATTTATTGACATTTATTTACATTACAAAATGATCACCCTGATAAGACTAGTAACCATCTGTCATCACAGAAAGTTATCACCATATTGTTGACTGTATTCCCTATGCTGTACGTTGCATCCCCGTGGCATTTATTTTATGACTGAAAGTTTGTATCTCTTATACCCTTCACCTACTTTGCTCTTCCCCCAACCCCTCTCCCCTCTGGCAACCAGCAATTTGTTTTCTGTAACTATGAGTCTGTTTCTGTTTTGGTTTGTTTGTCCATTTGTTTTATTTTTTCTAGATTCCACATATACGTGAAATCATACAGTATTCTTCTGTCTGGCTTATTTCACTTAACGTAATACCCTCTAGATCCATCCACATTGTCACAAATGGGAGGATTTCATTTGCTTTTATGGCTGAGTAATGTTCCATTTTACATGTGTGTAGATATAGATACATGTATATATTTACATGTATCTATATATACACACACACACATATATATCACATCTTCTCTGTCAATTCATCTAACAATGGACACTCAAGTTGCTTCCATATCTTGGCTATTGTGAATAATGCTGCAATGAACATATGGGTGCATATATCTTTTCAAATTAGTTTTTGTCGTCTTCAGATAAAATACCCAGAAGTGGTATTGCTGGATTGTATGGTAGTTCTATTTTTAATTTTTTGAGAAACCTCCATACTGTTTTTAGTGGAGCATCTTTTCATGTGCTTATTTGCCATCTGTATATGTTCTTCAGTGAGGTGACTGCTAACGTCTTTGGATCATTTTTAAACTGGGTTATTTTCTTGTTGTTGAGTTTTAAGAATTTTTTGTATAACAATCTGTTTTGGATAACAGTCCTTTATCAAATGTGTCTTTTGCAAATATTGCTCCCAGTCTGTAGCTTGTCTTCTCATTCTCTTGACTTTGTCTTTCACAGAGTTTTTTGTTTTTTGGGTTTTTTAAATTTTTTTATTTTTTAAAGATTGGCGCCTGAGCTAACAACTGTTGCCAATATTTTTTTTTCTGATTTTTCTCCCCAAATCCCCCCAGCACATAGTTGTGTATTTTAGTTGTGGGTCCCTCTAGTTGTGGTATGTGGCACGCCACCTCAACGTGGCCTAATGAGCAGTGCCATGTCCACACCCAGGATCCGAACCAGCGAAACCCTGGGCCACTGAAGCAGAGCGTGCAAACTTACCCACTCAGCCACAGAGCTGGCCCCAAGAAGTTTTTAATTTTAATAAAGTCCAGCTTATCAATTATTTCTTTCATGAACAGTGCCTTTGGAGTTATATCTAGAAAATCATTACCATACCCAAGGTCACCTAGGTTTTCTCCCATGTTATCTTATTGGAGTCTTATAGTTTTGCATTTTACATTAGGGTCTCTGATACAATTTTGAGTTAATTTTTTGGAGGGTGTAAGGTCTGTGTCTAGATTCATTTTTTTGCTTGTGTAGTTGTTCCAGCATCATTTGTCAAAAAAAAACCCTGTCTTTGCTCCTTTGTCAAAGCTTGGTTGACTATATTTGTGTGACTCTATTTCTGGGCTCTCTGTTCTGTTCCATTGATCTATCTGTCTATTGTTTCACCAACACCACACTGCCTTGATTA